ATGCCACTTGATTGACGACCAAAGAGTTCTGCTGCTACTTGTGAGAAAGAAAACTTCCATCATGACTGTTTCAAAAAATGGAATCCCAGCCTTTTCCTTGTCGGGTACGAGGTTTATAGATCAGGCACATGAATGTCACTGGAAACTCTGAAAGCAAAGTTCTTTGTTGTTATTTTACCATAAGTGATTGAAAGTAGAAAAAAATCACAGAGCCAATTTTTGTGCTGTAAATTTTCTTTTTGTTTATTTGGCCATCAAATAATGCATTTAGCCATGGACTTTTCCACTAATTAGGTCAATTTTTACATAGTTGAACACATAGCAGCTTTCTTTTCCCATAAAGACATTTTCCCAGCAGGTAAAAATTTTAAAAGACCTTGGTACTATAACTATCGACATATTAAAATGTCTTTATGTGTCTGTAAATCTCATAAAGTTGTGCTTCAGTTTTTGCTCTGTTAGGTACAGAATTTAATAGGTAAGCGAATGGACAATATCACAAATCTCCTCTTAAAGGTTTTTTAAAATTTCTTCACCATATTTGAGACCATTCTGTATAATTAACTTTAGTGTTGTTAAAAGTTTTATTTATTCTACCAAATAATGGATGTGGCTATGTTAATTTCCAGTGATTACATCAAATTTACCTAGTGATGCAAGTATAGAATATTTGTTTTTCCATGAAGAAAATCTTCCAAGGAGTGAGAATATTCAATGACTTGTATAAACTAAATATTGTTATTTAAATATCTTTATATCTTAGTCTTCTGGTTCATACAATTTATGATTTCTCTGAGGGACTGACAAAATGGGAAGACTATTTTGAAGTATGGAAACTGAGCAGTTGGAAGTATTTCTAGGTGCACTGATCAGCCCCCCATTTTCATGTGTTTTATCATCACATGGAACTACCTGAGACATCGGCAGTTATCCTCAGTGTAAGAAACCTTGATTTTCCAGTCACAGGAACAGATCCAAAATGTGAGATCATAGAACAATTGACAGTGGATACTCGCTGAAATTGTCTGTGACACACGGGAATCCACCTGTGCCTTACACTCTCATGGAGGTATCTGACTTGGACTGACAAAGCCAGCAAAGCACAGATATTCATTAGACCAAGCAAGCTATATTTGTTTTAGTATTACACTTGATAGGTTTTTATTTTACATGTTGTGAATGATAAGTGATACAAATTGCATGTACAACAAATAAACGAATGGACTTTTTACCTTAAAATATTATATGTTGCACAATATGCTAACAAAGAAGTATAATATCTTTTAGGTATATATTTGTATTAGAAAATATAAAATTACACATCTTATCAAATATACTAGAAAATAATGGAATAAATGTCTATTGGCTCTGATTGTTTATGTAGGCTTTTATGGGTGAATCTTAAAATTATTCCAGCAAACATGTGAGTATTTATACATAAAGACATAAATGCTCAAGAAAATAACTCACCTGCTGTCATTTAGTTTTATGAAACTGTTACTGTAAAGTACAATATAGAGCATTCTTGCTTCTACAATGTTATGTTTTGAAGCAAAATAACATTTAAGAACCTCTGATAATGTTTTTCTAGAAGAATTTCAAAAGTTCAACTTGAGAGATGAGTTATATAGTATCTTTCATTTTTTTTATGACATGCATGATAGATCAGAGCATGTTATATGTACCTTATTTTTAACACATAGATAATGAAACTAACAGATTTGTTCTGTTGAAATGGAAGCTGATAATTCAGGAGAGTGAACATTTCAGAAAGTAAGTTGTGAAAATCAGAGCACTGGACAGACCCTTTTTATCTTCAACAGGCACAGTCGTTTGGCCCACAGCTTCCGTGGTGGCTCATCTCCTGAATCAGGTGGGAGGAGTGCTGTGAACAGGCTGAAGAAGGTTCCTCACAGCTGGCCTCAAACATACCTCAGACTCTTCCTGCACACGTCTTCCTCTGCTAGCACGTGCACGTTAGTGGAATTCTCTTGCTTCCTGCCACATTACATCACAGGTAAGCAGTGCTAGTACTGGTACATAATAAAATAGGAAATTCCTAGGACACACAATTTTAATCTATGCCCCCAAAAGGGTGATGGTTATAAGTACATTATGTTTTGCATGCTGCACTATTATTCTGATTAAATTGTCAGAGATTAATGCTTCTAGTGAAACAGTGAAAAACAGTAATAATAAATACATTTTTAGATTTTAGCAGATGTCCTACAGTGCTCTGGACACTTTACATGTAATAAAAATAACCTTAAGATGTAGATGCTTCAGGCATCCCCACGCCAAGATGAGGAACTGGAGGCAGAGGGACATTTATTAAGCTGCCAGTGTCTCCGAGGCAGTAGGGAACTCAGCTGGGATTGCAACA